CATCCCCGTGACATAGTCACATGTGTCTGGCTAGATGATGATGGATGCCGTCACACCGTGAGGGTCCTAAGAATATCTCTCCATCGTCGGATGAGAAAATCCCACTATTGAGCTATCTAGTCCCTTATCAAACTTTCCGTGAACCTGTACATTATGATCACCGTGTTACAAATAATGTTTGAGCAACTCCAAAGCCCATCGTATGGTAAGAAGTGACTATGATACTCTCATGGTCAAATAACTAAATCACACATTAACTCTCCTTGTTATAACTATTGACTTGCGATGATAGTATCTCAAACTATAATAAACAAGTTTGGGTCAAATTAATATGATCGTTCTTCTAACGTCATACTCTCTTTGTTGTTTTAAAACTACCGTTACTCTTAACGATATTCTAAGATTCGGAAAACATGATCACCAACAACACTTGAGCTAGTCTTTGAGGCGAGACTAGGAGGAGTCTTATTTTACCGTTTATCATTCCGCACACGCATACAAGTTTTCCACTGAATCACATATTCCAGGATCATAGCAGTTATAACATAGAATATAAACTCTTAATTATGAAAATGAAAATATATTAATACAATATGATTGACTCTAGGGAATATTTCCAACAATCCCTTGCCCCACAAAGAGTACATGTATCCTCTGGAGCCATGTTTTGGTGTTTTAGTAGCTCACCAGTGGGCATGGATTGTCTAGCTAGACGCCAGACAAACACATCCTCATCATCATGCCATGCCTCCCGACCGAGCTTTGTACGTAATATCACACGGTACGTAGAACATACACTTAAAATGTTGTGGCTCTCTTCTTGCCATGCCCAAAAATCAGTAACCTTGCCGGTGCACAAAGGTATCTTGAGTATCTTCGAAGCATCAAACGGGGTGAATGTGGACCGAACCAGATCCTCCTTCCATGATGTTGTAGTAGCATCGATGAGTTGTGCTACCTTCAATGGCGGGTACTGTACAAGGGAAGTAATTGGCCTCTTAATGTTGTCTCTCGAAATCCAGTTGTGTGCCCATATGTTTGTAGTCTCACCATCTTGAATCCTTGGGACAATGCCTTGCACCGAGATGTCGCGGCCGTCCAAGATCGCCCTCCATATCTGGGTTGGGTGCGATCCAAGCTCCGCTTCTAAACTTCCCACCATGCCATACACCTAAATGTGCTTTAAAGACTAACCAGAAATTATAAATTATATGGGCCCAAGACCCATCTATAATTCAATAGCCTTGGTTTCCAAATTCATCAATTTTGCACTTGTTTGAACTAGAATATGCAGGACCTAGGGGAAAAGATAATGTCTCATTAACCGCACATAATCAATAAAAGAGTACAATTATGCATACATACATAGAAACTAGCAGTCGGACTAGGGTATGATGTCTTCAGAAACTTTACAAAAAGAACCCTCCATAATCTCTACTCCTAATGGACGAGTTGGTGAATCGTCTCCATGGCTTATTTTCGCTGGGTTTTTTCGTCTCTCCTCCCACCACCCCCTCCCACCCTGGTCCGCGGTTTATTTTCGCTGGTTTTTTTCGTCTCTCCTCCCACCACCCCCTCCCACCCTGGTCCATCACTTTATTTTTTCTCTCCACTCTTTATTACAACCAGAACTTTCCTAACGTATAACAAAACACGGATCTAACTTCCTTAAATTATGCAAATCGATCGATTCCTTTCATTGGTTCAATTTGTCTTAGGAAACAAATAACAGATTTTCAGGAAAAAAATAATACATTTTAATCTAACTTCCTTAAATTATGCAAATCAATCGATTCCTTTTATTGGTTCAATTTGTCTTAGGAAACAAATAACAGATTTTCAGAAAACAAATAATACATTTTAATCTAACTTCCTTAAATTATGAAAATCAATTGATTCCTCTTATTGGTTCAATTTGTCTTAGGAAACAAATAAGAGATTTTCAAAAAACAAATAATACATTTTAATCTAACTTCCTTAAATTATGCAAATCAATCGATTCCTTTTATTGGTTCAATTTTTCTTAGGAAACAAATAACAAATTTTCAGGAAACAAATAATACATTTTAATCTAACCTTTCTAACTTATCTAAATCAATCGATTTCTCTTATTAGTGAAATTTGTTTTAGGAAACAAATAACAGACACGTCACAACTTTCCTCCCAATAAATAGTTTCTTAACATTTGCAAACTTTCCTAATCAGACACGTCACAAACGGGCAGGTACTAATATCACGTTACCAAACAATAAAACCCCATTTGTATAGAAATCAGTTCAAAAATCCTAACTTTCATAAATTTTTACCTTTCCTTGATAACAACCAATATTTTCTATGTTTTCCACCTATTGAAGGAAATCACCCCTCCATCGATATTAGTATTTTTTTGAACTGAGATCTCTGGGTTATGATTTTTTTGCGATTCTTTCCAATTGTGATCTCTCCTTTCACTCCGGCTCCTTCTCGCATAAACACCTCCACCACAGCCAGGTGACACCGCCCCAGACCTCCTGCCTCTCCACACCTTCTCCGCCACCTCCTTCTCGTACTCCATTAACAATCCCTCCGCCACATTTGTCCACAGCGGTGTCAAGGGCATGGCGCAGCAGCGTACCAGCGGTAGAGCAGCGCATAGCAGCAGGATGCAACACACAGCAGGCGAGGCGAGCGGCCGGCGGTGGAGGGCAGAGATGCGGCCGGCGTGGCTGAGGAGGCGGCCGGCGGAAGATTGCCACGACTGGAGGCGGCGCGAGGCAGGGGCGCGACATCGGGGCGAGCGAAGGGATAGGCGGCAACAGACGGGGCGGGCGCAGCCAGCGAGAGTGTGGCGCGCGGCCAGGGTGTGTGTCGCGCGGGGCATAGTGGTGCGGTGGCTGCGGCGAGCGCGACGACAGCGGCGGGCGCGACCGACGCGGTGTAGCACGGGCGTTGGCATGGAGAGAGAGTGGCCCTGCGGGCGCGGAAGAAGAGCGACAGGCTCGGGCATGGGCGTGCATAGGAGCGGGCATGTGCCACGGGGTCAATCCGAGGAGCCCGGTGGCTACCCCTGCAATGGCCATGGCGGACGGCGGTTCTCGGCCATGGCGAAATACCTAACGAGAGCAAACGAGAGGGGAAACAGGGGAAAAAGCAAGAGGATATCATGGAGGTGTCAATGGCGCCCTAGGGGAAGACATGGGATCGAGCTCGGGGCGGCGCGGATCGAACGGTAATGTCGCGGTGGCCCAAGGTCGAGGAAGACGGCAGCTACGTCGATGCGGGGGTGCTGGACTTGATCTTGTTGGCGCAAACGAAGTAGCGAAGGTGTTCGGAACTCCTCGACAAGCTCCTAGCCCGCAGGGAGGGCAGTGGCCATGTGGACAGGGTCGGTCATGGTGGCCGTGGCGTCTGACTTCGTCCGGATCGACAGGATCGAACGAGCGAGGAGGAGAAGTGGATTTGGGAGGGGGCGTCGAGGAGGGGTGAGGCTATGGGGGCAGGGAAGGAAGGGGCGTCACCCTTATCCATTCCCCTTCGTTGCCAGCGAGGTGGTCGGGCGGGAGCCCGTCTGTGTAGCGACGCGGCTCGGGGAACAGGAGAAGACGATCGCGCGGGGACTGGACCGCTGAGCCGGTTCGGTGGCAAGGCCCGGGAGGCAGGGCGAATCCCCTTTTACATCGTCCTTTTGGTTTTTCAATGTATTCTAATCTGTTTCTCCTTTTTAACACCGTTTTCTATTTATTCTTATCAACTAAATGATCTCTACTCCTAATGTCTCAGTTGGTAGTCTTCGTTCCGGATTTATTTTCATCCCACCTCCCGAGTGAGGGAGAGGGGGAGAGAGAGTGAGGAAGAGGGAGGGAGAGGGTGTGTGTGAGAATTTGATGGTAAAAAAGGTCGTCAATGTCACTTAATATGTATGAGAATATTAAATGTAATGTTAACATAATTGATATTGAACTTTTAAAGTTAATGTGACACTGTTGCAACACACGAACGTTCTTCTAGTAAAATATTACAAATAAGTCTTCGGGGTCCCCGCAAACAATCAAATTTGAAACCGCCATCGACCGCCAGCTTCGTCGAGATGCAAATCGTAGGAAGAGGCAGAGCACCAGCAAACCAATATTCATGCCAACGTTATAGCCACACAGGCCTTCTGAGCCGAAGACTAACCTGCGAAACTGGCGCTACCACCAGTGTACATGCATTATTGCATAGTCGAAGACATGCAACTATAATTGGCAGCAGCCAGGCGGACATGCAAGTTTAGTTGCATGGAATGGAAAAAAGACAAAAGCAGAACCAAAACAAAAAAGGAAATCAATCAAACAGAAAAAGAAAAGAAAAACGTGAATCTCCGCGTACAACAAATAGATTAGAAGTATTTTTTGAGGGAAAATGGATTAGAAGTTCGACATACTTTCTTAGATGAGAATTAACAAACCTATTCTATTTAATACTGTAATTTGGTTGTATCCTTGATAATGCAACTTTTCAAAAATGCATTGTTCTAGAGATCAAATATATTTTTTATCAACTTTATATTGATATATGTGTGTTGATATATGATCTTTATTGAATAATAAAAGTTTGTGTGGTATATTTTGCATGCTCGGGCTGGGCGAGCCGACGGCGGGGAGAGGGTGGGGGCGGAACCACACTCCGTCCTCTCGTAAGTCAGAAATTAGGTCGCAAGAGTAGCACGACACATCGGCACATGCATGTGTAGATTGACTCATTACTGATCATGGATACACAAAGCTGGTCGTACACACATGATTAGGAATAGTAAACACTCGTATTCAAGCACACTCAGATCGCCTACGTACATAGGTACGCATGCAACACACGAACAATGAACACACGAACGCGTACATAAGCAGTACCGCTTTACAACTCACAGGACTAACAGCCACACTGCTGCTTATTTCATGGATGGATACCTTACTTAAGCCTGTCGGTATACGTGACAGATTGCTTAATCATCCAATCCATGTTCCACGAGCCAGCTTGCTAGCTCAGTTGAGGGGCTTGTGGGAGCCAGCGCGACGTGCGTACACCGGCGGCTTCGGCTTCGACGGTCCCGGCTGGGGGTTGGGGTTTGGCCGCGGGTTTGGTGTTGGCTTGGGGGTCGGTTTGGGGTTCGGGTGTGGATCAGGCTTTGGGTTAGGGTTAGGCTGCGGGTCGGGCTTTGGGTTCGTCCTGTCGGAACCAATGTCGTCTAGTGAATACACCGGCAATGACCCTGGCTGAGGTTTAGGCTTTGGCTCTTCAGGAGTTGGCTTCGGGTCCGGTTGAGGCATTGGCTTTGGTTGTGGCTTGGCATCTGGGTCCGGAGTTGGGTTGGGTTCCGGCTTTACAGGAGTCGTGGGCTTTGGGTTTGGGTTTGGGTTCGGGTGCGGCATTTTAGGGTTGGGTTGGGGCGTCGGTTTTGGAGTGGGTTTCGGGGAAGGCTTGGGGTCAATGAGCTTCCCTCCATCGGCGAGGCTAGGATCATCCGCCGTGACCACGGCAAGGAGGAGAAGCAGGACCAGGTGAAAGCACAGCGAAGTGCGGCCGAGAGACCACATCGTTGCGAGGTCTTCTTGGTGCTCAGTCTATGTATCACTTGCTGGGTCACTCTACGTGAGGTCTGTTTGTGCTGTGCATATGACATGGGAGTTTGTAGCAGATTTACAGGAGCGCCCAGCCAAGCAACACCGGACGTGTGTCCCTCCGTATCGATCTTGTAGCATGGGTCATGGGTACACCCATGTGAGCCATGATGTGCCATGCAGCTTCCGACACGTCGCCACTGTTGTTTTCCTTTTCAACTCTCGACGGTTATAAAATGAAGTGAAAGTGATGATCACTTATCGGGCCTAACTTTGCCACAAAAATGCATGCATTGTATGCAGTCATAATATACTCCCTCTGTGTCCCATGGGAGTATCATTTTTTACCTCTTGACATTAGTGTCCAAAATACTGAGTGCCTACCCGCGTTGCAACATCTATCGTATCTTCTCTCAAAAAATAAACATCTATCGTATCCCCAAAGGAGATATCAAATGATGGTCGCTGGACACGTATGTACACGGATGTATGTGCGCGGGCAGGCATAAAGTTACACGGCCCCTGCTGATGCTATCCTTTTTTATCATTTTTCTTACAACAATGCATTATTTTACTGCTAGTTGCCGTTAGCTAGCTCCATCCGTCGATCGATCGGGCCAGCACAATTGGCCCATTTCTTTACATCACAAATAAAAGGAAACCCATCGAGTAGCGCATGTATCCTTCACTCGGTCTCTACTCAGATTGCATCTGTTCTTTTGCTTTCTCATTTTCATGTTCGTGATTTAGGAAGCAGGCAATAAATTGGCCGAACACATTCGATGGAATCCAGGGGCTCTTGTCGGAAATGTGCAGGGGCACTCACCTGTCAAGTCCTGCCACCCGCTTGTTTTATTTCGTGATCCGCGCAGTAGTTCAACCTTGCACGAGCGCACAACAAAATGGAAAACCACTAAAAAAGTTGTAAGTTTGAACGATAAAATTTCCAGGTTTTTGCGTCAGAAAATGCCAAGTCTCAAAGTTTCAGAGATATAATTTCAAGCAATTTTTTCTATCGATTATAGATACAAAATAATTAATTTTATCGGCCGCTCGTATTAAGTTCCGTGGGACATCGTTCTCCTTCTCTCGCCGCAGGATCCGTAGAAGATTCTCATGAAGCTCGTGCTCGAGGTGGAGGGCGATGTCGTTACCTAACTCATCGACGCCGCGTATAGCGATGCCTCCAAGACCGTTGTGGTGAGTTGAGTAGGCTAGAGCATTGTATTGACTTCCAGGGTATGAATCTCTGAAACTATCATGAGCTTCCTTCGCCAATTAGCCTGGTTTTAAAAATTGATGCTATGTTATTACTGGAACACTGAAGCTAGAGTTTAAGGCTCTAGTCTTCAGATCCTTGAAATCATTTTTTTTTGAAAAGGAGGGGCTTCCCGGCCTCTGTATCAGAGTGATGCATACGGCCATCTTATTAACCAAATAAATAAAAGGGCCAACAAGGTTCTAAAGTCTCCAACTGGAAAAAGGAAAAAAGACAGCTCACACAGAGTCTAAAAGGCTAGATACACAAACTAGCCAGGAAAAGACGCCACAACCGGCTGGCTAAAAATAGATAGGTAAACTAATTGTCTATCCTATTACATGACCGCCATCCAAACCAGTTGAAGATATCCTGAGCTACCATCTCCCAACGGATGGATCCAGTAACCAAATGCTCCCTGGCCTCCATCGGAGTGAGTAGCGACCACGAACGGATCAATGCTGTAGCTCGGAAAATAACCTACAAAAAATGAATCCGTGATGTTCTGTTAAAAACCAAACCATTTCTGCAATTCCAGATAGTCCACAACAAAGCGCAAACTCCAACCCGAATATGTCTTGCTAAGTCAGGCTCAACCCCATTAAGCCATGTCCCAAATAATGCGTTGACAGAATTCGGTGGAGTAATATTAAAAGCAATATGGACTGTCCGCCAAATAACTTTGGCCAACAGGCAATTAAAGAATAGATGCTTAATCGTCTCATCTCGATCACAGAAAGTACACCTAGTAGGTCCTGTCTAATTACGCTTTATTAAGTTGTCCTTTGTTAAAATAACTTCTTTATGGACAAACCACATAAACACTTTAATTTTTAAAGGAACTTTGACAGCCCAGACAAACTTGGAAGTTGGAATGGAGTTCGAATTAATAATATCAATATACATTGATTTAACTGTAAATACTCCAGATCTAGTCAAATTCCAGCATAATCCATCGGGTTGGTGAGAAAGTTGAACCTCCATTAGTCTCCTAACTAGATGGAGCCATTCTTCCCAACGATTGCCCGCTAAGGACCGTCTAAACTGAATATTAAGGGGGATAGATTGAAATACCGTTGCCACGAACACCTCACGTCGTTGAGCAATCCGATATAAAGATGAATATTGAATGGCTAAAGGTGAGTCGCCAAACCAAGTATCCTCCCAGAAATGTGTACTTGCACCGTTTCCAATAACAAACCTCATCCTATTGAACATTGAGTGTTTGACTTTCATTAGTCCATTCCAGAAAGGCGAATCAGTCGGCCTGACTGTGACCTGGGACAATGTTTTAGTCTGGAGGTACTTGCTGCAGAGGATCTGCGCCCACATGGTCTCAGTCCTGGAGGAAAGCTTCCACAACCACTTACTAAGAAGGCATCTGTTCTTAACTTCAAGATTTTCAATACCAAGACCCCCTTGGTCTTTCGGTCGACAGATGATGTCCCATTTAGCAAGCCGGTATTTTCTTTTAAGTTCATCACCCTGCCAAAAGAAACGCGACCGGTAGAAGTACAGTCTTTTCCTAATACCAACTGCGACCTCAAAGAACGACAAGAGGAACATAGGCATACTCGTGAGCACCGAATTAATCAAGATCAAACGGCCTCCGTAAGACATGAGCTTACCCTTCCAGCAGCTCAGTTTCTTCTCAAATCGATCCTCGATGCACTTCCATTCTCTGTTTGTCAGCCTACGATGGTGTATCGGAATACCAAGGTATGAGAAAGGTAAACTCCCCAACTCGCACCCAAACAATTGCCTATAAGACTCCTGTTCGTCTTTGGCTCTACCAAAGCAGAACAACTCACTCTTATGAAAGTTAATCTTTAACCCGGTCAATTGTTCAAAAAGGCATAACACCAGCTTCATATTTCTCGCCTTGGCCAAATCATGCTCCATAAAGATGATTGTATCATCAGCGTATTGAAGGACGGATACACCTCCATCAACAAGATGAGGTACCAAACCACCCACTTGACCATTCTCCTTAGCCCTTCCTATCAAAATTGCTAACATATCCACCACAATGTTAAACAGGATAGGGGACATCGGATCTCCTTGTCTGAGGCCTTTATGTGTCTGGAAGTAATGACCTATATCGTCATTCACTTTAATTCCCACACTCCCTTTTTGCATAAAGGATTCGACCTGTCGGCGCCAGGCTTCATCAAAACCTTTCATACGCAATGCCTGTTGAAGGAATGGCCACTTGACCTTATCGTACGCTTTTTCGAAATCCACTTTAAAAATTACTCCATCTAATTTTTTGGAGTGGATTTCATGGAGCGTTTCATGAAGAACAACCACCCCTTCAAGGATGTTTCTGTCCGGCATGAAAGCAGTTTGGGATTGTTGCACCACAGAATGTGTAATCTGTGTGAGCCTATTGGTCCCGACCTTGGTGAAGATTTTGAAACTAACATTGAGGAGGCAGATCGGCCTGAACTGCTCAATTCTCACAGCATCCGTTTTCTTAGGGAGCAATGTGATAGTTCCAAAATTCAAGTGAAATAATTGAAGCTGTCCAGAGAATAGATCATGAAACATAGGTAGTAAATCCCCCTTAATAATGTTCTAGCACTTTTTATAGAACTCAGCCGGGAACCCATCCGGTCCGGGAGCCTTATTGTTTTTCATTTGTGCAATAGCATCAAACACCTGCTTCTCTGAGAATGGGGCAACCAGGATATCATTATCGGCATCAGACAATTGAGGCACATCCTCAGTCCTGGACTCATCGAGGGACACACAATTATCCTCCGGAGGTCCAAATAACTCTCTATAATATTCGGTAATATAGGTTTTGAGATTATCCTGACCTAAAATAGTACCCTCATCCTGTTCAAGTTGAAAGATCCGCTTCTTTCTGTGCTTACCATTAGCAATGAGGTGAAAGAATTGAGTATTCGCGTCCCCTTGGACCACTTTGCGGACCTTAGCTCGCAAAGCCCACTTCAATCCTTCTTCACAGAGAAGTTCTTTCAACCTCTTCTCCGCCTCATTTTTAACCTGGACCTCAGGAGGCAGCAAAATCGCGGATTCAGCTTTTATGTCCAGGGCCTGTATAAGAGAAAGGAGCCTATCCTTCTCGATCTTATACACCCCACTGAGGTGCTTAGCCCAACCCCAGAAAAAACTTCTCAAATGCCTAATTTTATTCTGCCAACGCTCGACTGCCGTCCTACCTCCTACACCCTTAGCCCATTCCCTGGCTATGAGGTCTAAGAACCCCTCGCGTTCGAACCAGGCCATCTCAAATGAGAAGGTGTTTTTGTTTCCCATATGGTTCGGCTCCCCTGAGTCGACGAACAATGGTGTGTGATCGGAAATTCCCCGCGTGAGAGCTTGCACCGTAACAAGAGGGAACTTCTGTTCCCACTCAGATCCTTGAAATCATGCTCTGCAAACTTCGGGACCCATCATGTGTTACTGTTGTGATGTTATGCTCTAGATACCTGACATGGGATTTTTATCTGTTTTGTAGTTATAATCTTTAACATGATGAATTTTCTCATGTTTTCGCCATGGGTAGTTTAAATTTTATGGTATATCTATAAAAAAGCCATGACAAACTTTAATATGTTCAAAAAAAATGTTTTTGCCATGGAACAGTGCAGGAGATGAGTTGACTGGACGCTTCTCTCTGCTCAGGTGCCATCTAGTTTGCACATAGCTGGGATATGTTTGGTAGCCTGCATTAGGCACAACCAGGCCC